TTTGGAGGGTATAAGCAGGGTGTTCACCCAGCCCCTTTTTTGACCTTGTAGTTGTTTCAGGTTCGTCATCGAAAGCATCGCTATCTGTATTCATTACAGGAATTCTCCTGTACATTTACCATAATTCCTATAACAATAAGCAGCGTAACCAAATATTTTTAAATCAGAATAATTAGCAGGAGTATCAGACCATACCTTATGTGGAGTCTTTAACTCAATAACAGTGGATGAAAAATGATTAACCAAATAGCAATCAATGCTAACAGCCTCAACCTAAAAATCCTTAAACAACCCTGCATTAGATTGCATCCTAGATATCTAGATGAAGATGCCTTTATTTTCATTGATATGGCTTGGACCCTTCTTTGAGTGGGAGAGTGTGTTGCAATTATCCTCGAAAGTCTTCTTGCCCTCGTAAGGCCAAGTGAAGACATCAAGGCTAAACATCTGATCAATTTTTCACATTCCTCATTCGAGTGCTCTCTCCAAAAGAGTCATGTTCATACTCTCTGTAGACCGAACAGTACATTGTCTGACAATGCCTTCATCTCTACAGAACTCATTAAATTCACCTCCACAAAATTTCAAACCATTATCTGTTCTAAGACGTTTGACTTTCTTGTTTGTCTATTTCTCAATCAAAGTCTTTCATTGCTTGAAAGTCCCAAAAACATTACCCTTGCGTGTCAGAAAATAAACTCAAATTTTTCTTGAATAATCATCAATAAAGGCTGAAATAAATCGAGCGCCACCCTTATATGGAACATGAAAAGGACCCCAAAGATCGGAATGAATACAATCAACTATACATTTAATCCTATGAATAGTTATACTAAACTTGACTCTGCATTGTCTCTCAAAGACACAATGCTCACAAAAATCAAGTTTATAAATTTTCTATTTGTCAAACAAACCCTGTTACACAGAACTTCCATGCTCCTTTTGCCCATGTGGCCCAAATGCATATGTCATAACTGGATAGTATTTAAATCTGGAATTTTTTATGATGACACACTAGTTGCACTAATCACAATATCACCCTGAAAAACATAGAGGTCATTAATTTTTTACTTTTCATCACAATCAGAGAACCCCTATAAACTTTCGTAACTACACCTTCAACAGAAAACCTACAACCAATAAAATTTAAGGTACCTGAAGAAATCAAATTATTCTTTAATTTTGAAATATGTCGTACATCTGTCAAAGTCCTCACAAATCACCATTGATTGACTCATAGGTGATAAATCAATTTTTATTAGGGCATATGATATGAACGATTCGAATCAAGAATCCACTCATCATTAAAACGTCCATTACAAACAACAACTATAAGGATGTTATCTAAACCATAAGATGTATCTTTTGTAACACCAGAGGAATCAGAATGATTTGATTTTTTTTCTATCTCCCTTTATTTTTCAACTTAAAACAATCATATTTATAATGACTAATTTTATGACAATAGAAACACCCAACATTATTCTATTTCCTCCTAGACTATAATCGATATTTAATTTTTTTTTTTCTTTTATCTGAATTTCTTTCAACGGATCGACCTCTATTATTATTAGAGGAACTATCAAGATAACCATTCACAAACAGGCTCTTGGCCTGAACATCACTGCCTTTACTATTTAATTTAATATGCAATTTTTTAGAATTCAAAGAGGATTTCACACCAACTAGAGAGATTGAATCTCTCACATACAACATCGAATTAACAAAATTATCAAACGAATCAGGTAGCGAGCATAACACAATCAGAGCTTGATCTTCATCCCTTATTTTAATACCAATATTTTTCAAGTCAATAATAAATTTGTTAAATTCATCAATATGTTCATTAATGGGCTTACCTTCCTTCGTCTTGAGTATATATAATCGTTGCTTCAAATACAAACGATTGATAAGAGACTTCTTCATAGACAAACTCTTCAACTCTTTTCAGAGTCCTTCAACTTTGTCGTTATCAACAACCTCACGAAGAACTTCATTAGTAATAGATAATGGAATTGCACTGTGTGCTTTTTCTTCAATTTCAACAATTTTAGTCTTATCTGTCTCCTTGGATACAGATCCATTAATGACCTTTGTCAAACCTTACTGACGAAGCAATGTCTTCATCTTAATCTGCTAAAAAATTAAAATTATTCTAACTATCAATTTTTTCTATCTCGAATTTTGTTATAGTCATTTCGACACTAAAGCTTTGGTACAAGTTTGTTATGAACCAAAGTCACTAGCAAAATAACAATGAAACATAATAGAAAAATAGAACATAGAGATTTGTGTGATTCGACTCAATAAACAAGCCTACGTCAGCAAACGAAATACAGCAATAAGATTTTACTATTTAAAGGTTAGAAATTACAAGACCGTCCTCAATAAACAAAGCAATAAGAGAACATATTTATTCTATCACTATTATAAAATTAATAGTGTCAAAAATCTTCTTCCCAATAAAGTTAGTGTCTTCAAAAAAGACCCAAAACAAAATAAAGCAAAATCCAAAATTTCTTCTCGAAAAATAGTTTTTGATGTCGTCACCCCTGAAAGAGAAAAAATGCTAAAACCCAAATTCCTCCTAAAAGACTCTTGGAGTTTAAACCACAAAATNAGAAATGTGCTAATTCCTAGCTTTGCACAAGGAACCGTTAAGGAGTTACCACACAAAAAGGACAGTTTCCTTGTGAAGAAAGTGCAACGAAGGTTGGAGAGACTGGCCCAATATGTATGTAAAATATAGTATAGTACAGAGAGGTCAGGTGAATAAGGGAGCTTAGCTATCACAATAACCCATAATTCTTTTATTNTCCCCGCGGCTGAAAATTTCTCACGCGAACATTCCATTCGGCCTAGCCAGGTGGTCTGATGGGACTATACGCAATTTTAATAAACCAAAACTTGAATTTGGGAAGCCAAAGTTCAACCCTATACACTAATCGGTTTAGAATCATCCCATCCCATAGATAGGGCTGTTAGTCGTACGAGACAGAGTCGAGTTCGAACCGAGTTTGAAAAATTTATTTTTTAATTGAGCTTTAAAAATTATTTAAATTCGCTCATTTAGGAAACAAGCCGAGCCTAAACAAGTCGAGCCCGAGNTAGTCGAGTTTGAACCGAGTTTGAAAAATTTATTTTTTAATTGAGCTTTAAAAATTATTCAAGTTCGCTCGTTTAGGAAACAAGCCGAGCCTAAACAAGTCGAGTCCGAGTATTTGCACATAAACGAGTTGAGTTTGTCAAGTTTGAGCCGAACTTGTAGAGTCTGTTTTCTAAATGAGCCTAAAAACTTGTTCAATTTCGGCCTTGTTTAGAAAACGATTCGAACCTGAACGAGCCGCACTCAAGCCAAGCTCGAGTAGCCCAGTTTGATTAACAGTCCTACCCATAGATTTTAGATTGTTACCTCATGATCCTAATAGTTTATTGAATGCATTAGTCTAATCCTCAATACTGGTCCAGATCTAAATTAAGCATTTTGTATCCCGCTGTGTCATCCGTTCGAAAGCTATACTACCAAGTTAATTGTTTGTTGAATTTCCGGTCGCGTTTCAGTCTCCTTGGAATAAATTAAACTATTCGTAACCAAAAACCAATTCATTAACAATACTGAACCACATACACTCCAATCAACACTAGGGATTCTCCTGCAATTGTTGTCAAGACAGCTAAATATAATGGAGAAGAGAAAATAAGTTGAGAAAGCGATCATGTTACCTGAGAAGCTTGAGTTTAAGCAATTTGTAGCATTCTTACTTGACAAGAACGGAGGACAAATAGAGATAGAAGACTTGCCCCCATTTTGTTTGTCGTTCAGGCATTTTTTCAGACACCTCCCACCCACATTACAAGAATACGCATATCACCCAATTGGTAGCCAAGTGATGACAGTCAACAACACAGCAGCAATGTGGAAGCTTAATAACACCATTGCATCATGGATTTGGTGCAGCGGTGTGTGATTTTGAGTCTCAAATGGCCGCTCTTGCCACTCACTCAAGGCAAAGTGAGGCGAGAAGCCGGTAGTCATACCAAACCCTGATCCGACAACCGCATTTTCTTTATCAATCACCTTCACCGTAAGTACTCAAAAGGAAACCACACAGAATAAAACTAAATGTGGTCAGACCAAACTGATCCATATGTTCCCCCAGCGAATTTCCAAGTTTAAAGAAGGCCGCCAGGGAGGAGAAACTGAAAAATTCCACCATTTTTGGAATTGCATCGGCAAAAAATGGAAGTCAAGGAGCATTGCAGTAACCATTCAGCATCAAAGGGTTTTCATCGTTTATGTTAGGAAAAGAATGGTGCCACAAGCCTGGGTCAGATTGCCGGAAATGTGCTAATTCCTAGCTTTGCACAAGGAACCGTTAAGGAGTTACCACACAAAAAGGACAGTTTCCTTGTGAAGAAAGTGCAACGAAGGTTGGAGAGACTGGCCCAATATGTATGTAAAATATAGTATAGTACAGAGAGGTCAGGTGAATAAGGGAGCTTAGCTATCACAATAACCCATAATTCTTTTATTAAATAATTTCCTAGCTTCCCTTCTGTCTGGTCAGACGTAGGGTAATACTACATTTATTTAAACTTGAAAGTTACTTTCTTTATCTGACGTGCCTACTTGAGCCGGATGAAAAGAAACTTTCCCGTCCAATTTTGAAAGGGGAAGAGGGAGAGGGTGGGGGGACTCCTATAAGATCCTATCCCAATTTTTCTTTTGCTAGGCCAGAAACATTTCCGTTTCACAAATTAAGAAGTAAGAGACTTCTCAGAAGAGATGAAATAAGACTGTAATCGTGATAATCTACAATCATTTCAGGCCATTGTGTAATTACAAATCATAAGAATTAAAAGCCCCCAACCCAAGAGAGACAACATGATAATTTCTAGTAGGAAACATGTTTTCTATTGTTCTTTTGTTCATCTGCATTCAAAGTTTCTCATGACACTCAAACCTGAGTCACTGAGCTTATAAAAACACTCAGATTCTCTCACCTTGACAGTAGTCCAAAAAAGGGATTCGTTAAAGCAGAATTCAACACTTGGCCAGCTGATCGAAGTACTGCCATGTCAGTCTTCTCTGGGGGAATACACAAAAAATTGCCACCTCCAACTCTCTCAAACCCACAGAGCTCAAGAAATTCGATACCTTCTTTGAAAATCCCAACTCTATCCTGTTATTTAGAACACAATAATGACCTTGTTACAAGTCGAAAAGGAAAATATTCATGATCTGTATCTACTTCTGTGTTATTCTGCTAGACTGAAAGGAAAATTGTATGCAATCAACTTGGTAAATAAGGCAGAGTAGACCGATTTGATGGAAAAAGTCCTGAAAGCACACCCTCGCCTTAGCTATTCCTCACCCAAAACACAGATTGTCGCATTTTTTTATATCAGTTATTTTGTATTACATCCTTTATTTTTCAATAAAATTGTGTTTCCTATCAAAAAAAAGTTTTTTAAATATGACTCATGTAAAGTATAAAATAGGCAAAGCAGAGAACCAATGGCCATAGCACGTGATCCTCTTATATGAACTTTCTTTGTTATCAAATAAATTCAGTTCCAACTTAGTGCCCATGGTGCCCTTATCTATCAAGAAGCATGTTCTAGGAAGCTTGTGAGGCAAGGCACAACTGATAGATATCACCCTCTCCAGAAAAATTGCATTATCCCAATGCCAACCATCCAGATGGGCTTATGTTCAAATCATGCTTCGAAAAGAAATCTTACAATTCAAAGGCATGAACTTAAGAGTAGAAGAGTGTAGAGGTGCTCAATTGGATCAACTTAATGATCAACTGAAGATTTACATCTAAGTGTGACATCTCATGGCCCAGATGATGGAAATTTAGGTCAACATTATCGAATAGACAGATTGGCTAAATTGGGTAGATATACTGATAAACCCCCTATCCTATAAGTTCCCATCAAGTGCACATTTTTTTGTACCTTGACAAGGAATCAAAAGGAATGGTTTCTGCATGCTTCTGTCAGAAAAGGAAACTACTTATTTTTCATACTTTCAACATTTTAAATAAAACAAGTGCCTTACCAGGAAGGCTGGATTACTGAGTCGGATCTTCCTGAATTTTCCTTCATCAGGATTGTTTGCAATATTTCTGACATAAATTAGAAGAGTTTGGAAGGCCCTTTTCACTTTGGCATCATCATCCTAGACCAAAAGAAAAAGGAAATGATAAGGTCAAAGGAAGTGGTACATTAGGTAAACAACGCTAATACCAGAGCGTGGCACACAGATCATAAGGCATTTTTTCATCCACATACCCATGCACGAATTTTATGTACAAAAATCTCGCCCTCTGACAAATAAATTTCCCCTCATCCGGTCCCCTCATACATTGGCTTTTCAATATTATGTTTTCAAATAAATAAAATATCAAGAGGCCATTGACTCATGCTAACAACCACAAGGTTATGGGCTCAAATATAAAGGCAGCCATTTTATGCAAATAAAGCCAATGGTTTGTTTGTATCTGGTCTGTCCATCCCAGCACCCTCAATTAATTGGGACTAAATTAGGTAGTGGGTTTCTTTATCAACATTGCTGCACCTAATCCCACTGCTGCCAAGTGCAGATACTACATAGCTCAACTACAATATGTCCAAAGCACAAAATTCATTGGAAAAATGTCAATCACCATGCATCTTTGGAAATTCATAAAAAATGGCTTCCAGACATTGCACTTGTCGCATTTTCAGTATTAGAGACTATGTTTACGGGCAGAATATGTAATGTCACCTACCTTGTGTTGGTGCCTGAGAGATCTCAAACAGTCTCTCATGAGTTCTACTGTTGTAGCAGGCTTGACAGGCAATAAATCAGGCTTGATAGGCAATGAAGCAGGCTTGACAGGCAATGCAGCAGGCTCGACAGGCAACGACACCTGCAATATATTGTAAGCAAAAACTTCAGTAAATAAGTACAACTACAGTGCTGAGAATATAGAATTGATAGACATGTTTCGAATTTACCACACCTTTTTTAATTCTTGCATCAGAGGTGTGGCAGATGTTGCATATGCAGGGTCTTCCAAAGACAATCCAAGCTTCGACTTTCTTTCTGCCTACAACAACATTCATTTGTGGAGCATCTAACTTCTAAAAGAAAATTTTAAATTGGGAGCATAAATGTCAAATGGAATCCCGCATCTGAAGACTCTAATCAAATTCACAAAAAAAAAAAAAAAAAAAAAATATAAATAGAATAATAATGATTGGTAGTTCTATGTTAGTAAAAAATGGTTCTAAGAGCTTTCCAGCGACTGGGAAATAGTTTGAAACAGGTAGCCAGCAACCTTTTTTAACTATAGCTGCTCAGAATAGTTTGCATGTTAATTTCAATAGTATAAACTAACATACATTTGAATGAACCGACCCAGCCCCATTGTGGTTTCTAGAGATATGAAGAAACATATAAGTGGAAATTATTCAGCAAAACCTTATCTTGCCGAAGCTTCTGGCGGATTTTCTCCCTTGCCCTTTTCTCTTCCTCTTTCTCTGCTTTTCGCAAAGCCAGAAAACTGATCCGTCAAAGTGCATAAGAGAATTAGGAGGATCTTAGCGGGAAAACATACTAAGAGGACATAAAACTGCAACAACAAACAACATAACTATGAATCAAAGACAGACCGCTTTCTTTCGTTTTCTTCCGCAATTTGTTTTGCTTCTAGCAGTTTCTTACCTGCTTGAATTCTTTCCTAGGAGTAACAAAACATAAGTAACAAAACAGCTAAGTGACACATGCCCAGAAATCTTGATGTACATAATACTTAGATGTTATATGATCATGCAAGGGTCGAAAGACATAAGACATACAAACAGAACAGGTGTATTACATAAGCTAAAGTAATAAAGTCCCAGAAAATTGAAGAAACCGCAACTGACAATTTAGGTCCCGTTTGGTAACGTTTATATTTTTCGTTTTTTGTTTTTATTTTGATATTTAGAGAAAACAAGAAAAAAAAAAACTCGTTTGATAACCGTTTTTATTTTTTTTTTCTATTATTGTTTTGTAAACCAGGGGCGATTTTCAAAAACAAGAAAAAGACGTTTTTCGTTTTTTGATTTTGTTTTTCGTTTTTTAGAAAATCAAAAACCGTAAACGTTACCAAACGAGCCCTTAATAATTTCTAAAAAATAAAACTCGACTAAAAGACTTGCCAAGTATTTGTGGTCAGTTACATGAATCCTGTTCTGTTTTTTGTGCTCTATCCAGAGCCATATACGCTGCTAAACTGGAAGCTATTATACCCAATCAAAGGAAAATTTTTAGGAGGAGCAGAGAATATGGTAGTAGGAACAATCATATGGACTTCAGAAGAAAGCAAAGCAAAGCAATCTTACATACACAGGTTCTATTTAAAAATACTGAAGAAAAATCAAGGATTTAATGTCAGTAAACACTGGACTTCTCCTTTGGATTTCTCCTTTTCCCTTCAAAGCTATCAGTGGAAAAGGAAATCCAAGTGAAACCCATAACCAATTAAAAAAATGACGACAAACTTCTATTAAATAGTATAACTACATCACTACTATTCAAACACAAACTTCCATTCGTTAAACCTCTATTTCTATATAACATAGCTATTTTTTTTGGAGAAAAAATCCTCTCCTCACTCATGGGGCCACGGGCCATTAAAAAAAAAAGAAGAAAAGATGGAGTATGCACGAGCACAGAGAGAGTAGAAAAATATTATTACGTAATATGATACATGTACATAAGAAACAATGACGTTGAGAATGACATTAACCATAATTGTCTCTGCATCATTTCTGTATTAACTTCCAGCTTCAAAAGAACAAATAAGTGGAATATACCGCAAACACTGTGTAAATGACTCAATCAGTGAACCTGAAAATTTTTCATTCCAACTTATCCACACAATGAGGTAAAGAAATAAAACTCTCAAACAGAAAAAGGGAGAAAGTATGGGTCAGTCAATGGTACCCTCTCCCTATCTCTTTCAAGTGTCTTCTCTTCCCCTTCTTTCCTTCTGCATGCTCGAACCCTGAAATTGAACTGAAATAAATGTTCATATTTGTTCCAGGGAAAAAAAAAGAAAAGATATAAAGAACATAAGACAGAGAAACTGCATGTAAAAGTTGACCTAATATTGATTATCAACTGTAAAAGTAAACAAAAAAAACTTTAATTGTTACAAAAGGCAACCAAGAGTTTCATGGTGAATTGAATGGAAGATGCAAACCTTAATTCTTCTGCTTTTAACTTGACTTGTTCTGAAATGTAAGCAGGCTTAGAAGCCTCAATATCAATATTCACTGGAACCTACATGCATTCAAAAGTAACATATTCCCCATAAAACTTTTGGGCCAAGAAAAACAAAGTAAGCATCATAAGCATGTTTAGCATATATGATATCTAAGAGGTTACACATTGATGCACTAACGTGACTATGGAATGTAACAGTCCCACTCTTTCAAGGAAATCCTATGCTTTCAGATACAAATCTTCAGCATTGACAAGCGTTCACATCATCTCCTTGATCAAACAGAAAGCTTATCAATGAGCAAGACTNGTTTAGCATATATGATATCTAAGAGGTTACACATTGATGCATTAATGTGACTATGGAATGTAACAGTCCCACTCTTTCAAGGAAATCCTATGCTTTCAGATACAAATCTTCAGCATCGACAAGCGTTCACATCATCTCCTTGATCAAACAGAAAGCTTATCAATGAGCAAGACTAAACCTAAGACTATAAAAATAGGCAAACCTGTGCTATTGCTTCCACTTTTGGGGGAAAGTTCAGCGGTCGGCTTTCATGTGGTAGTAATTGTGAACATATACAAGAAAGTGGAAGGAAAAAAAGAATATGTTCTTACACCACCTCTCCAAGATATACANTATAAAAATAGGCAAACCTGTGCTATTGCTTCCACTTTTGGGGGAAAGTTCAGCAGACGGCTTTCATGTGATAGTAATTGTGAACATAACCAAGAAAGTGGAAGGAAAAAAAGAATATGTTCTTACACCACCTCTCCAAGATATACAAGAAGCTATGGATGAAGACAAGTATTATATATTGGAATAGTGATTGTGTAGCCTAAAAAAATTGATCAAGCGTTGAAATTCAAGAACCAAAGATGGCCTAGAGCAGCTACCAGATTTTCTAAGGAGCACTTATATTGAGAGAGAAAGTATTACAAATTATCTAGATAAGGTATAATGCTAGGTGTCGGTTTCAATTATTAAACACCAACAAGTCTCCCCAAGTAAAAGCTCCTAGACCGGCATACACATTTATGTCCCCACAATAAGCACTTCCTAGAGACTAGCAACCAATTATTATCTCAGCTTAAGAAACCTAGAGATTTTGAAGTAAAACAATTCTGAAGTAGCAATTCTGAAGTAGCTGACAAGGTAATCATTACTAGCTTTGGGGTGCATCCTTACTCCTGAGTTGTGTAGCAATNTAACAAGGTAATCATTACTAGCTTTGGGGTGCATCCTTACTCCTGAGTTGTGTAGCAATAGTGAAGAACAACTTTTACACTTATCAAAAGGAAGATCACAAATGCATATCATGCAATGCAATGAACCCAGATTTTCCACATGCAAAGCATAAAACCATATCACTCCTCAAGTTCAATCATTTGCACCTTCATAGAAGTATTATCCATATGACTGAACATGCAGACAAGAAACTCTGGCCATTTAGAAAACTTAATAACCACACGTGAAGAACTATCCATTCAATATATACTCATACATGAAGACTGGAGTGCAATGGAAAAAAGAAATACCATCAAGCTGAAGGAATCATACCAAAGGAATCTCATCAATGTGCAGTTGATCTTCATGATCAATGTGCGGTTCATCTTCATGATCAATGATCCAATTTACAGCAGCCTCAAGATTTGAATTACCTGAAGAAACGAAAGATTCTATATTCACCAGAATGTAAAATGCCTATGAACTGCAAATAATGTCAGTCTAAAAAGGTTCTGAAGGTTAAGCTTTTGGAGAAGAAGCGAAGTTGACAAGCGTAATCAGAAAATCAAACATTCGGAGGTCAGTGTTCCAGAATGTGAGGTGACCTTGAAGTACGCACATTCAGGATTGTAATAAAGCCATTTCCCCAAGCCATCTGCCCTCCATGATCCCAATTGGATTAAGGAGGGTGGGAGAGGAAAATAAATCTAACTCAGGTTTGAGATGAAGTGAGATCATAGCACCCTGCCCACGACCACTGATTGTGATAATATTCATCGTGACAACTTGATACATTTTCTAAAATTTTTCATGTAATCTTTAGCCAAAGAATGGGGCAGGCTCAAGTAGCGCCTTAGCTGAATATATCAAGTTCAACTATGTGTAAATATATTGGTCTTTACCAATACCTAGATAAGAATCATTAAAAATTGGCAGAAAAATGCACATGTTTACCATGCCTGGCATGAGGCATTTGATATTAAACATAAGCAAAACACAGAAAAAGAGCAAACGAATCAGAATATAAAGAGATGTGGAGAATTTGAAAGAGTGTGATGCCTCCTAATATATCAAGTTATATGATGTGGAAGAAATATTTGAATTAACAATAATATAACTAAAACAAAAGATAAATAAAAGTTAGTAGCATGAGCCTGCTAAATAAGAAAAGTTAAGCACAGTTGAAGATTATAAAAGGTCATTATTCAGTTTGGCTGCGTGCATTTGACCTTCCCAAGACCCACACTGACTAGGCCTCGTGCACTGGGGCGTTTTTTATTGTCCAGTTTGATCTCCATTAAGCAGACGTGTGCTGTTCTTTTTATCATCCAGCTTGATCTCCATTAAACAGAAGTGCTGGGAATGATAGACTTGATACAATCCTAACCACTACCATTATTAGTGCAAGATGAATGCCNGGCTATAGTTTATTTTATATCTAAATTAAATAATATATTTGGGGAAAACAAGCGGCCTAAACACAATTAGTTAAATAGGTGACCACGGTGGGGCGGTAGAAGTTCCACAGCTGGCAGCAGCTTGTCGGGGGCAGCGACATAGAATTTAGTGGTAGGAATAGTGATCCTAATTCTGGGATAGTGGTCACAGTGACTTGGTAATGGTGGCTCATGGCTGTGGGCGTGGTGTATCAACAATGACATGGTGAGAGAACCAAGAAAGGTGTGGTATACACCCTCAGCTTAAATATGAGCCTCCGGCTAAAGCGAGTAAATTTTCATTTTCATTTTCATTTTCAGCTTTCTAATATTTGACTTTATTTCTTGCAACTTTCAGTAATTAAAAAAAAGCATCACCAATTTCTATCTGTTTTACCTCTTGATTAGGAAATTAATTATCTCAAAAGTTGCATTTAGAGAAGCACTTAATTATTGACTTCATATATGTTGAAGATATCCCCAACCTACTATTGACAAATTTCCCTTACTCAGCGTATAACATATGATATGGCACTATGCACCAAGGTTCAGCCCAAATGCANGATATGTTGAAGATATCCCCAACATACTATTGACAAATTTCCCTTACTCAGCGTATAACATATGATATGGCACTATGCACCAAGGTTCAGCCCCAAATGCAAGGTGATTATTTAAAAGTAACAAGATACAGGAGCCATCCAAAGGCTACACACGAGTTGATGGAAAGAAATCATTGGTGTGTCTCAATCAAAAATTAGACGCCATGTCAATATACATAGTATATATATGGAATCCAGATGGAGGAGATTTGGTGGGTGATGCCCAGGTATGGATGTGTCCTGGGCGCATTGGTGGGTGGTACCGTGGTGACAGAGAAAGAAAGTGAGAGAGAGATGGAGATACTGTGCCATTGGTGGTGCCTACGGTTGTGAGCTTGAGAACCTGTCTTTGACTCTTTGGGTGACGTGACTAAAGAGGGAGGGTTGATTTTGGGTCAAACTACCTGTGTTCCTGGATCTAAGGGTAAAATATGTGATTTTTAGTTAGAATGGGAAGAACCCAGAAGAGAAAAAGAAGGGTTAATGTATACTGATTGCATCAGAAATTAACAGTAGAGGAAGAAATTCAAAAGGGTTGGCAAAACCATAAGCCCAAATACATATCAATGGATAATTGTAGGAGATAGTTTTTTCTCTAACCCGTGTTCATCCCATTCTATTACAAAATTATACAATTGCCATCAGAAATTAGCCAGATGAACACAGTTGAGGAAATTGAAAGGGCTGGCAAAAGCATCAGCACAAATACAACCACATATATAGCAAACCCAATATATATGAGAAGATCGAACAATCAACGCAGTTGCAAACACCGACCACACTATAATGCGGAAAAGAACGGGCATCCGCGGGTGAGGGGGAATGGAAAAGGGTCTAAATCTTGTTAAGCATAGTCTCATTTGCCCGATTATAAAATCAAAGAAACAACGCCTATAGAGACTTCAAAAAAACCTTCATAATCAGATAATCCAAATTGCACAGCAAAAGTAATATACTACGAAAAATTTCAAGCCATAGTAAAAAATCGTACTGTTCTTCAGACGCAGTCCTAAAAGCGGCTTCTGATGATGAACGTTGCAGGGGCTTTTCTACGGAATTTGAAGAAGCCCCGATGAAGAATAGGAATCTTTTATAGAAACCCGCCAATGAAGAATAGGAATCTTTTATAGAAACCCGCCATTAAAGAATGCTCTGATTCTTTACCCTCTGGCAATAGCTTCAGGTTTAATCGATCCTTTTTCTCTCTCTTTACTCCACTCTCACCCACTTTTATATCTCTCTGGTCCTCGGAATTCAGATTCTTCATCACATGTACACCCGTTCTTNCTGTTGTAAAATATGACCCCAATCAAATTGACAATCTAAAAAGTTAAAACAAAACCACATGCCAAGTGAGTTCTCCAAACATAGAAATCAATATAGTATTAGGCATCATCATTCGTTCCACAAATTAAAGGTACAAAGAGCAAATTTAAACCCATTTGGATGCATTTCATCCTTTCTTCACTGTCCCGTGTTAGAATTTTTTCTAAACAAGATAGGCATTGGCTATAGTTTATTTTATATCTAAATTAAATAATATATTTGGGGAATACAAGCGGCCTAAACACAATTAGTTAAATAGGTGACCACGGTGGGGCGGTAGAAGTTCCACAGCTGGCAGCAGCTTGTCGGGGGCAGCGACATAGAATTTAGTGGTAGGAATAGTGATCCTAATTCTGGGATAGTGGTCACAGTGACTTGGTAATGGTGGCTCATGGCTGTGGGCGTGGTGTATCAACAATGACATGGTGAGAGAACCAAGAAAGGTGTGGTATACACCCGCAGCTTAAATATGAGCCTCCGGCTAAAGCGAGTAAATTTTCATTTTCATTTTCATTTTCAGCTTTCTAATATTTGACTTTATTTCTTGCAACTTTTAGTAATTAAAAAAAAGCATCACCAATTTCTATCTGTTTTACCTCTTGATTAGGAAATTAATTATCTCAAAAGTTGCATTTAGAGAAGCACTTAATTATTGACTTCAGATATGTTGAAGATATCCCCAACATACTATTGACAAATTTCCCTTACTCAGCGTATAACATATGATATGGCACTATGCACCAAGGTTCAGCCCCAAATGCAAGGTGATTATTTAAAAGTAACAAGATACAGGAGCCATCCAAAGGCTACACACGAGTTGATGGAAAGAAATCATTGGTGTGTCTCAATCAAAAATTAGACGCCATGTCAATATACATAGTATATATATGGAATCCAGATGGAGGAGATTTGGTGGGTGATGCCCAGGTATGGATGTGTCCTGGGCGCATTGGTGGGTGGTACCGTGGTGACAGAGAAAGAAAGTGAGAGAGAGATGGAGATACTGTGCCATTGGTGGTGCCTACGGTTGTGAGCTTGAGAACCTGTCTTTGACTCTTTGGGTGACGTGACTAAAGAGGGAGGGTTGATTTTGGGTCAAACTACCTGTGTTCCTGGATCTAAGGGTAAAATATGTGATTTTTAGTTAGAATGGGAAGAACCCAGAAGAGAAAAAGAAGGGTTAATGTATACTGATTGCATCAGAAATTAACAGTAGAGGAAGAAATTCAAAAGGGTTGGCAAAACCATAAGCCCAAATACATATCAATGGATAATTGTAGGAGATAGTTTTTTCTCTAACCCGTGTTCATCCCATTCTATTACAAAATTATACAATTGCCATCAGAAATTAGCCAGATGAACACAGTTGAGGAAATTGAAAGGGCTGGCAAAAGCATCAGCACAAATACAACCACATATATAGCAAACCCAATATATATGAGAAGATCGAACAATCAACGCAGTTGCAAACACCGACCACACTATAATGCGGAAAAGAACGGGCATCCGCGGGTGAGGGGGAATGGAAAAGGGTCTAAATCTTGTTAAGCATAGTCTCATTTGCCCGATTATAAAATCAAAGAAACAACGCCTATAGAGACTTCAAAAAAACCTTCATAATCAGATAATCCAAATTGCACAGCAAAAGTAATATACTACGAAAAATTTCAAGCCATAGTAAAAAATCGTACTGTTCTTCAGACGCAGTCCTAAAAGCGGCTTCTGATGATGAACGTTGCAGGGGCTTTTCTACGGAATTTGAAGAAGCCCCGATGAAGAATAGGAATCTTTTATAGAAACCCGCCATTAAAGAATGCTCTGATTCTTTACCCTCTGGCAATAGCTTCAGGTTTAATCGATCCTTTTTCTCTCTCTTTACTCCACTCTCCCCCACTTTTATATCTCTCTGGTCCTCGGAATTCAGATTCTTCATCACATGTACACCCGTTCTTGCTTCCGGCTCTGAGAGGCTAGAGAGTGATTAGGGTTTCTCCCGTGACCGTTACTGTTTGTAACTTTGTATGTCCAGACTTTTTGCACGGCAAAGATCCCAGGTTGCATAAATACTTGTTGTGGTGAAAGGTCGGTTAATGTGATGGAGCGGATTTAACCCGATATGTGATCCAACTATATATAGGGCGATCCTGGGGCTTCGGCTTTAGGATCCGGATTTGGGAGAATTTTACTTTGTATCCTACAAGATTTTAAAAAAATTATTTTATATTCTTAAATATCAAATTTCTCATATTATACTCTCAATATATTTAAAAATTTATAATTTGACCCTTTTACTAGTTTTCGTTACTCATTTCATTAATGTCAATGAGATAGTTTTTTACTGAATAACAAACAAAATGAGAAGTTAGTTATAAATCACAATTTTCTTTTATTTTCTTGTGTTTTTTACAAGAAAAAAAATTAGTTATTTGTAAGAAAATTCAAACATGAAAGAAAATTATTTATTCTATAATTATCTTTTTCATGTTAACTAAGCACATGAAAATTTTAAAAAATTTCTGTTTTTTGTATTTTCTACTATTTTTTCACTAAACAAACGAACCCTTAGATTATAATAGTGAATGAAAAAAAATAGGGAATCCTATTTTTTAAATTGTTGATCAGTTACAAAAACTCACTATAAATAAATAGATTCTGATGGAATGACAAGATTGAAACTTTATTAAAACATTAAGGATTTAATTATTGCAATTGAAACTTGAGGGACCAAGTAAAAAATTATGTGCAGACTTTAAGGTATAAATTATAAACTACCCTACAAAAATAATAAGTCAAGATTCTGTGGCCCAAACCTAATTAACCGATTTGGTTCGGGCCGAATATTTGGGCTGACAGCTGCAATGGCACATCGGCACCGGAAGCAACCATAACCATGAACCACAGGGTTTATGAACAATTTATAGAAACAGAAGCATTCAGACACTTCCAGAAGCCGTTAGAATTTGAAAGAAAACACACCGTCTGGGTACGGGATCATCGAGAGAGAGAGAGAGGGAGAGAGAGAGGAGAGATCTTCTTCAGAACCATAAACTAGTTTGAAGATTAGGAAAAAGATGAAAGTAGAGAGAAAAAGAACGATCCAGCTGTTCTGCCCATCTCTATCAAAGATAGTCCCAATAGTAGCATGGGAAGAACAGAGACTTGATATTGGGTCCATATCACGGACCTTTGGCCTCGACCCTGCGACGTTGAAGCTCAACGGTCACTTCATCAGCAGAGGGGTAGATCTCATAGCCTCCTCCGTCACTTGGAAGTCCCTTCTTTCTTTCTTCTCCGCTCGAGGACTATCCACCGGAGGTACGGACTTCGACCCCCTCGTCGTTGACGGAAAGCTATCCAAAGTTGGAACCAAAAGTAAGTTTGGTTGCTCGTTTGGCTACTTTGGACATCAAAATTTTCGAAACCCCTCTAAATGCATTGATATAAATATGATGATGGTGGGCACTTGATTGATTGGTTCTAGTTTTCTATAAATTCAAGAAGCTTGCTTATTGCTCTTTTTTGATGCTCAGGCTCAACTTGTTTGGCAGATGGGAAGTCTAGGGAAAATTATATATATAGTTTCCAATGATTCTTCAGTTTTATATGCATACAAGAATGGTGCCCTTTGCTCTGTTTTATTTCTCAGACATTGTAGGGAAAAATTATAAATTGTGATTTTGTAATTTAACGTCTTGAAATACTGTTTTTCCCTTTTTGGAAAAGACCATGTTGATAGAATCTAATTATCCATATAGAAATTACTTTACCATTACATTAGGGTTATGGGCATAGTAAAAAAACAAGTCAAGTCTAGTGAAGGAGGCGGCTCCATATCAGAGAACTAGCTAATCCCTGCGCCTAAAGGCACGAAGCAATAAAAAAAACAGTTAACATATTTATATTTGCACCGAAAATTAAATCACAAATATAAAGAAGAAATAAAAAAATATAAGCACCGATTGTAACGAGGGGAGCGGTGGTAGTGGTGGTGGGCGACAATGGTGATGGTGGGAGGCGATGATGGTTGTGGTGGTGGTAAGGCGACGATCGTGGTGGTGGTAGCAATCGTTGGTGGCAACGGTGATGTTGGTGGTGAGTTTTGAGTGACGATGATGGTAGTAGCAGTTGTGGGCGACAACGGTGGTAGTGATAGGTGTGGGTGGTGGTGAACGACGGTAATTGTGGTTGGCAGTGGTGATGGTGGGCAGTGATGATAGTGGTGGTGGGCGATGACGGGTGCTTCTAGGCGACGGTGTGATGGGTAGTGGCAAATGACGACGACAGCAAGTGTGGTGGGGATAGGTAATAATGGGTGGCTGAAGTGGTGGGTGGCGATAGTGGTGGTGGTGGCGATAGGGCAGTGAGGGTGGGGTGGGGGTAAAAGTGGGGTAGTGGCGATGGTGGAGGTGAAGGTGGTGGGTTGGCGATGATGGTGGTAATTGTGATGGTCGGGGGTGGTGGTGGGCCGATGGAGGTGATAGGGGTGATGGTGGGGTAGTTGCGATAGTGGTAAAGTGCAACAACGATGGTAATGATGATAGGGTGCAACAGCGGTGGTGGTGGAAGTGGTGGGATAGTGGTGGTAGTGGTAGTGATGATGGTGGGGTGGTGGTGGCAATGGTGAGAGGTGGTGGTAATGGTTATAATGGTGGTGGGGNGTGGTAATGATGATAGGGTGCAACAGCGGTGGTGGTGGAAGTGGTGGGACAGTGGTGGTAGTGGTAGTGATGATGGTGGGGTGGTGGTGGTAATGGTTATAATGGTGGTGGGGCAATGAAAGTGGTGATGGTGGTGGTAAGGTGGTGACAGTGACAGTGACAGTGACAGTGACAGTAGTGATGATGGTGGTGTGTATGAGGGTGACAGTGGTGGTGGTGGTGGTGGAGTAGTGGGGGTAGTGGTGGTAGAGGTAGTAGTGTGCCGGTTCTAAACATTATTTTTTTTTAAAGTACTTATGAAAAATAATTTTTATAAATAATTTTAAAAAGTCACTCTAAACACATTTTTAGAGATTTGTTTTTCTTATTAAATTTGGGGTGTTAATATTAGACGTTAGATTAATTTTAAAGTAAAATTTAAAGCGATATCAACTACAAATAGTAAAAGTTATTTTATTTATCTTTTGAAATTTGAATTGTATTGTACTTTATTATATAGTTCGAAAATTGTTAAGAGGTTGAATTATTTTGATGAGACAAATTGGATGAGACAACTTGGGTTAGGAAAGGTAAAGGTCATCCTTTGGTTGACAGTTGACACTACACCAAACACCTAACATGTGTAAGTTTTTTTTTTTTTTTTTTTAATTATTTTCATGATCAATACTTGCCACAAATATTTATTTTGGTATTGATTTTTTTTAAATGCCACAATCTTGTCCACGAGAGTAAAACCATAGCATCTGTAGACGATGCAAATCAATGTGAAAATTATGAAAAAACACAGCTTGGTCTAATAGAATAGTGGCACATATGCTGTGTGTTGTGTGTGTTTTGGGTTTTCCTGGTATGATTTCAACCTTTTTCCTCCCAGTCTCTATTAAATCTGAGCTGTGTTTTCTTCAGGGGCACATGACCCAGCAACAGACGTTGAAAATGGAATTCCCTCCACGAGTGAACATGAGAATACTAGCATTAATACAAGGCAACAGTTTGAAGATGCCAACTTGCTCAAGAAGACGAGGATTAGCTATACAAACTCAGGCAAATATCTTTTGTTTTGAGCTGTTATTTATTAGTGAATTTCTAGATTCCTGAATACTAAAGATTTGTTATGTATCTTCTGATCAACCAGTCTGCGCAGAGTGTTGGATGGTAGTAACCACGTATAGACAAACTTATGAACTATGTGCTTGCTTGATTCACATTCTTAGTTTGGGATCCAAATCTTTTGATTCTTTTTTTTTTCCTGTCAAATTCAAATGGGGTCACAATGAAATAGGCTATTCAATTTCTAACACAGCTGTCTTTCTTCAGGATTCGATGATAGTATCAGCCGGAAGAGAAAGCAATGGTTGGAAGACGAAGATGATAACCCACTGAAGAGGACGAGGATAAATGGAACTAACCTAGGTATGCTACAAAAGGAGTGAATTAAGTATCTTTCCAGTTCCACTTCTTCGACTTGAAAAAATATTCGTCTTCCTAAGACTAGAAGCATCACCATCACCTATGGCCCTCACCGATTCATAGTGCTTTTGAAAGGTTTGGTGCATGAAGGAAACTTAACTGTTGAGAAATTCAATTACTTGCTCAACATTTCATGGGCGTCTTTCAGGTTTCCAAGGAAGTGAAAGTGGTCTCTCTGGAACCATTTCAAACACCCAATCTCCATGCAGTTTCATCACTAAAAATACAAAGAGGATGAGAGAAGATGAGATGGTGGCAACTGCACTTTTCAAGAAGATAAGATGAAATATGAAGATTATGTCTGTCTTCACTGGCTCCTCACCAAAAAAAGAAAGACTGGCTCCTCATAAAAAATAAAGGTGAAGAAAAAGAAGACGACGACAACTAGACAACTAGATGCTGACGTTTTAATACAAAAGTTTTCCTACTCTTGCTGCTCACAAAAAAGACTAGATGATGAGGTGTTAATACCTTTAGTATTTCATTTCCTTTCATCTGTGAATTCCCTTGCTTTTACTGATAGATGAATCCCAAGTATATGTAGTGCAAGATAGAAAGGCAGCACGCAATGTATGAGCAGGTTTATCCAAGTGGTTTTCATGATTCGTATCGGTAATGATGGAGGAACCTTACTTGCTACGAATTTTAACTGGAAAAAAAATGATGTGCAGCAGTAAGGTACTGATTTGTAATTCTCTTTTTCAAGTTGTCGTCTATGGTATCGAAAAAAAATTGATATTATATCTCTATTTTATCATATTTGTAGATTTTTTTACCACTATTGTGGTTCCGAAAAAAATAATAAAAATAGTTATCGCAATAATGATATAAATGATAAAATTGATCAATGTGAATGAAGAAGAGAAAGAGAATGTATTATTCATAGAAAATCAGTAATAATACACAGCATTAACCTAAAAATAAACAAAGTAAGTCTTATATAGTAGAGTAACACAATATAAAAAAAATACCTAAACTACCTTTAGTATTAATATTTTAACACCCCCTCTCAAACTCATAATGTATTAAAAAACATCAAGAATTTGTTAAGAAGAAATTGGAAACGTGTTATGGTGTGAGACTTCATAAAAAAAGTCGCTATCTGCATTGTGGAAGGAAGAAAGGAGAGAGTGATGGTACCCTACTGCAGATGATGGCGCACAAAGTGATAATCAATCTCAATATGCTTTGTGCGCTCATGGAAGACCGAGTTATGAGCAATCTGAATAGCACTGGTGTTGTCGTAGAACATAGGAGTAGGAGAAGATACCGAAATGTCAAGATCAGCAAGGAGCCATCATAACCAGACTATTTCAACTGTAGTAACTGTCATAGCACGATACTCAGCTTCAGCAGAAGAACAAGCAACAACATATTGTTTCTTATTTTTTCAAGAAATAAGAGAATCCCCGATAAACAAGCAGAAATCAGTGGTGGACTTGCAATCCATAAAGTCTCTTGCCTAGTCAGCATCAAAGTAAGTCTTGAGTTCCATAGAGGAAGAGTGAGGAAATAGTAAATTCTGATGTAGAGTACCACGGAGATACTAAAGAATGCGAAGAACAGCAGCCCAGTGAACGGTGGTGGGTGAAGCAACAAATTGACTCACAATGTGAACAGCATAAGAGATATTCGGATGAGTGACTGTAAGATATACTAAGCTCCCAACAATAGTGCACTATAGAGTTGGATCAGACAAGAGAGTACCATCAGACGAAGAGTAACGAACATTGAGTTCTAAAAGTGTTTCAACTGTCCGATTATCTAATAAACAAGCTCGTTGAATAACATTTGAAGCATACTTGGACTGAGAAAGAAGATATCCTTTAGGAGAGGAAGCAATCTTAATACCCAAGAAATATCTAAGTTGTCCCAAATCTTTCATCTCAAAATAGTCCTGCAACTGGATTTTCAATAAGCATATGTCAGCAGTGTCATCACCCGTAATAATCATATCATCAACATATAGTAAGAGAATAATAGAACCTGAAGAAGTAGACCGTAAAAAGAGAGTAGAATCATGATCACTGGCACGAAAATCCAAGTCACAGATAACCGAGAAAAATTTGGCAAATCATGCCTTGGGAGCCTGTTTAAGACCATATACGGCACGACGAAGTCGACATACTTGACCAAAACTATAAGATAATCCAAGGGGAGGTGTCATAAAAACCTCTTCAATTAAATCTCCATGTAGAAATACATTTTTCACATCCATTTGAGACAAACTCCATTGTCGAATGGCAACAACTACAATCACGGTGCGAACAGTAGTCATCTTGGCAACAGGTGCAAAAGTCTCATCATAGTCTAGACCATATTCCTGCGCAAATACTTTAGCTACTAATCGAGTTTTATATTGTTCCACATAACCATCCGACTTGATTTTTATCTTATAAACCCACTTACAATCAATGGTGCGTTTACCAAGCAGTAAAGGCACTACCTCCCAAGCTCTGGTCTTATGTAAGGCAGACAACTCCTCATCTATAGCCTGTTTCTAAAGTGGATCAAGTAAAGCCTCCTTGTAGGAGGTGAGTTCAGATAAAAAATGAATAGAAGTAAGAAAAGAACAAAAGTCAGAAGAATAACAAGTATTACTCCAACCAAACCTATCTGGACATTTGCGAGAGCGCTGAGAATAGCGTGGGGTATGATCCACAGTGTCTGAACCTGATTGGGCGGCCGAAGGAGAAATGGGAGGCACTGCATCCGGAGAAGAGATAATTGGAGTTCTGCGAACATATGTATGCACAATAGGAGGACGAGTAATAATCGGCTCAAAAGATGAAGGATCTGACACAGGTATATCACTAAAATATGTGTCATGAGGATCATTAGTAGGAAAAGGATCAATGTATAACAGGTCAGACTTATTCAATGAGGAAGAACTAGATGAAATTAAAAAGAAGGGAATATGCTCTATAAAAACAACATGACGAGAGGCATAAAGTTTATGGGTGATGAGATCATAGCAATGATACCCTTTTTGACCCTCACCATAACTAAGAAATACACATAGAGCTGAACGAGCAAAAAATTTGGTACGAAGAACACTAGAAAGCAAAACAAAGCAGGTACAACCAAACACACGTAAAGAAAAATAGCTAGGCAACTTACCACATAACTTTTCAAATGGAAAGACTCCAGAGGTGAGAATAGTAGGAATGGTGTTGATCAAATGAACTGTTGTCAAAACTGCTTCTCCCCAAAATGAGCTGGGAACATGTGCTAATAAAAGAATAGAAAGTGTTGTCTCTAGAATATGACGGTGTTTTCGTTCGGTAACACCATTCTGCTCAGGTGTGTCAGTGCAAGAGGTTTGATAAAGTGTACCATCAGATTTCAACATATCATGAAAAGAAGTAAGAGTATATTCACCTCCCTGATCACACCGAAAATATTTAATGACTGCGAAATATTGAGTGCGTACCATGTTATGAAATGTAGTGAAGATGGAAAAGAATTCAGACNTCGAAAACATTTAATGACTGCGAAATATTGAGTGCGTACCATGTTATGAAATGTAGTGAAGATGGAAAAGAATTCAGACCCACATTTCATCAAGAAATACCCAACAATATCTCATGTAATCATCAATAAATGAAACATAATATTTGGACCCTCTTTGTGTAGGAATAAGAGTCGGTCCCCATATATCAGAGTGAACAAGAACAAATAGTACAAGAGAACAAGTAACACTTTTATTGAATGGTAATACACTAAATTTAGCCAACTTGCATCCATTACAATTAGAAATATCATGACTTGCTAAATTATCCAAACTACCAGTTGAAGCTAAAAATTTTAAACGAGAATAAGAAACATGATCAAGACGAGAATGTCATAAATAAAAATTAGATGACTCTGGAGTTAAATGAAATGAAGATAAATCAACAGTAGAAGCGACAGCATCAGCATCAGCATCTAGGACATGAAACTCCTCCAACACATATAACCCGCCCTTTCTACAGCATGTCCCAATCAGTTTCTTGGACCGTGGATCCTGCACAACACAACCAGAGGAAGAGAAATGAACATAAAATCTAGAATCAAATAGTTGATTGACTGAAAGTAAATTCAAAGTAAGTTGATGAATATAATAGACATCTGAAAGGGTAAGGTTGGAAGAAATAATTGTCCCAACACCAGCTAATGACATTTGAGAACCATTGGCAGCAAGGACAGATAAAGATTGAGGAGAAACAATAGATGCAAACAAAGAAAAGTCACTGGTCATATGATATGTGGCACCTGAGTCAAAAACCCAAGCAGTGTGAGGTATACCTGAAGGACCTAAGCTGAACAAACCTATAGTGAGAGAAACTGTGAGAGCACCAGACTGATGAAGAGAGAGAAACTTCTATAGTTGATCCGCAAGCATAGTCAGGTTGGGAGCTAATGAGACTGACTCATCCACTGGTGGTGCTACGGCCGTTGTATAACGATCTCTGGACTTAAATGACTGATTTTGAGACCCTCGTGCATTCTTATTCATCAACTTTGGACATTGAGCCTTCTAATGACCATTTTCACGATAGAAGCTACACTCATCAGAAGCAACTCGACCTCGATATTTGTTTTGGGAAGTAAATGTCACTTTGGAGGGAACAACCAATACAATCTGATTTGGTAGTGGAAGAAGACCCTTTTCAGAAAGTGTTTTAAGACGAACCTCTTCAGCTAAGAGTTCATTAACAACTGCATCCACTATGGGGAGTGGGTGACGATAAAGAATGGAACTACGAAATCCCTCGAAATCATCTCTAAGGGCCATCAAGAATTGCACCAGTCTTTGTTCCTCTCTGAAGGTGCGATATGTCAGATTAGTGCTCAACTCAGTGGGTTCAGTAAGTGCTAACTGATCCCAGAAGTCGGTCATAACTGAGTAGAATTCTTGTATGATTTTGTCCTCTTGACACGCATCTCGAATCTCATGCTCTAGCTGATACCTTTTTGTAAAATTAGACTGGACAAAAAGTGTAGCCAAATAATTTCAAATTTCCTTAGCTGTGCTAAATTTGGATAAATGAACCCCAATAGTCTGATCAACTAAGTTAATAATCCAAGTGATAATATTTGCATTATTGATATCCCAAGTACTCTTCAAATCAGCATAATTTTTTACCTTAGTATTAGTTGGAGCCTATGCAATATCACTAACATAATTCCACATGTCTTTCTCCAATAAGAAATTTTTCATAACATAAGGCCAATAAAAATAATTTCTACCTATTAATCTCACACTAATGGCTTGAAGTGAATCAGAATTTCCATTTGTTATTGTAGTAACAATTATCAATAGATATCACAGTCAAAATCAAAGGAAACAAAATCCATAGTCAAAACCTAACAGCCACCAATTAAAGAATTACTCCAAATAACAATCAACACATTCAACACCAAAGCAGGAACAGTAAACAAGAAGACTAACGACTGTCGACTGCCACAAAACCAGACTGCCAAAGCCACAAGGAGATTACCCACAAATCAGCTGAAGATCAATGCAACCCACAAGCATAGCAATAACATCACTGAACAAGACGACCACCCACAACACCGACATTGGAGTATCGCCAGAAAGAAGCTGCGACACCGAATTCCTCAGACGGCCAAAGATCAAGCCAAAAAATTCCTCAAAGGCTTCGAGTCACTCAAGAGGGGACCATGGAAGTTTAGTCGTACCTCTTAGAAAAGATTTGAACCAAAAATTGCAACAAAAAGCCCTTATTTCAACAAATCAAAGAAATTCGAAAATTTGGGCGCTCAAAATCAAAAACAAATCATACCAACAAAAAGCCCATGAAATTTTGAGTCTAACAGTGGTCTTCACGGTCGGAAAAGGATGACATCACCATGACATCATCACTGGCGACGATGCTGACATCATTCTCCGGCAATCCAAAAAAAAATCTTTCATCTTTTTACTTTCTATAGTCTTAAGTTTTGAAATAAAATGGCTCCGATACCATGATAGAATTGCTCAATGTGAATGAAGAAAAGAAAAAGAGAATGTATTATTCATAGAAAATCAGTAATAATACACAGCACTAACCTAAAAATAAACAAAGTAAATCTTATATAGTAGGACAACACAACATAAAAAAAATGCCTAAACTACCCTTAGTATTAATATTCTAACAATAAATACCTATAATAATGGTAAAAATACTCATATATGTGGTAAAAATACGTACAAAAATATTTTTTTTGTGCCAAAAAAAATAATAAGAATAGTTGTCACAACAGTGATAAAACTATCCACAAGTGGTAAAACACCTACAAAAATTGGTAAATTTGTTGGTTGTAAAATAATCCACAAAAATAATAAAAACACTCATTGAAATAGTAAATTTTGAAAATATGGTACTGAATTTTTTTTGTCAGTACCGTAATCAAGTCCCTCTTTTCTGAAAAGGAGGGGTGTATAGTGTTCTTCATGTTAATAAGTGAGTTCGGGTATTGGCAAAACACAAGGATGGAGTTCATGAGATGATGACACACTTCTAAGTCTGATGGTGCGCCATAACAACAATGCAGTTGAGCAATTGTGATTGATCAATAACTCAGCAATGATACAGAATGGGATACAAGCCGTGAAAAAAGGTCCAGCGGACAAAATCGTTTCAACAAAGCCCTAACTTTAAATGTACATCTTGTTGTAAAAGAGACTTGCCTTTCTAGCTTGCTCTAGGTGTCATTCAGGATATACTGCCAACCAACAGCAAGGGCCACCACTAATAAAACTTTAATGATTAGCTTGGAACTTATCAAAGATGATGAAGAATACAGTGGTTGAGACTGTGACGAGGGCGGTGGCTCCCATGGTTTCCCTCGCAGCTTAGCGAACAACTTGGATAGCATCAAGCGTAACCGATCAGTCTTCTTGGCAGCTGCAAGCAGATATGTGCCAAACATCAACAATTGGACAGGATAAATATACATAAATAACAATATCTTTCCTCCAGCTCTATAGGGAAAAAGGGAGGGGGGTTGCTGCTTCATACCTAAAACCAAATGGTAGTAAATGTCAGAGGGCACTACTCTAATACTTTGTCCTTCACACAAGCGTGAACACAAACACAAACATTTCCATTAACCCATGCACGTGTGTATGTGTCTTTATTTTCACTCTTCCCAAATTAGCAGAAACATAACAAGGACAATCGGATTGCACAGGGTTTGGACACAAGAAATCTACTCTGTTCGGAATGGGGCTACAGCCACCTAACCTCAACAGGCTACAGCCACACACAGACACTATTAATGCGTCCATAACATAGGAACTTCAATCTTTCAGTAGTGTTCAGCAAAGCAACTCACCTAATTAATATAAGTTCGATCGTTGAGCTGGTTAAAAGGAGTATGTCCACTTATTATGTTTGCATTACATACATAGCTACCCCAATGGTGCAGGAGGCCGATCGCTACCCCCAATGGTGCAGATGACCTATGTTAGTTGGTGTAAGAGATTTAAGGTGCTTTTATCATTATATTTAGCGACTCCGCTTTTTTCTTTCTTGTTCCATCCATTAAACACCCTAATGGCATCACGAATGACTCTTCCAACTTGATGAAGTCGTTCATATTGCATAGCCTCGCACTGTGTGCCCTATATTGGATGTTCCCCAACATAATCTTGATTCATGCTTTTAATATACACATACCAAAAAAAATCGAGAAACCATTAAGTGACCTAACTAATCATAAAGTATGTGGTTTTGGAGAAATTCAACTTTCACCGACCATGCATACTGTTAATATATAGCTAAAAACACGAAGGATAACAGTGCAAACAGGAACAGACTTTGCTAGCTAGCATGGATGATTTAGTTTAGATAATATAGCATTCGTGACATTGGATAACATTAATAGGTAACGACATCTATGCAAAGCTAACAATATACAACTGGTGCTTTTTAACTTGCATCAACTAGATTAGTTCACGAATATTTTACCTTCAGTCGAAACATGGTAGCATATGTTTGCAACAAATTAATAACAATCTCATCCAAAGAGATATAATTACCTTTGCTTTTTAAGAGTCTTTCTTCCTCGCCAACACGCCTTCGCAACACATTGAGCAGTGATCCAAAATATAAAGCAAATACTGTGCATGTAATTGTGATGACATTGTAAGGCATGCTAAAATCAGGTGTTGTCAAAGGCACAAGCAGTACTTCTGTGTAAGATAGAACTGTTCTTCTTTCCTGCTTAAAAAATTTCAACAGTTAAAGAAGAAATAAACAGAAGAAATTCTTAGGCACCTAAAAAATGATTAAGAACACCAGTTAGACACCTGTAATTTGGATAGCAGGGGTGTTTGGTTTAAAGAGTTATCCTCGACAAAATGCATGCTTGCTTGGTTGTCAGGAAAGCTTACTACAGCTGATGGAATGTCAAATCCCTGGTTTGCATCTGGAGGATATTCATCAATGTGCAAAAACCCCTGTGGAAGAATTACAAATCAGTAACTAAGACGACATCAATAATATAGCAGAGTATTATTAAGTTTCCAATGCTAAAGTAAGTCATGGGTATCACTGCGTCAGTAGATAGGCTGTTAGGCATTTACACGTGCACATAAGTAGGTAAAAATTGTATTCAAAGTTAAATATTTCTTATTCTAAAATATAATCATTGGAATAAGAAATATAATCCTTGAGGATGTGTTTTACAATTTATATGTATATCCGTTTCATGGACTACCAAGTATGGCTCTGCCTTTCAAGTTACTTTTATGGGTAAAAGTGGAAGAGATTCTACGAGAGATTACAACACCATTTTTATTGCAGTACGAACCTAATTTGCATGCATTGTCACATACTCAATGGCTGTAATCAAGAATAATTTCCCAACCATTTTGGCATCCTCAGGCTATCAAACCTAAACCATTTCTCAAGCTAGGGTGTACCCAAAGAGGGAAAAGCAAGGCCATTTCCCCCAAGTTTCTAAAACTTTTGTTCATTTCATCATTCAGACTATGAAGGCTTTAACGATAAGAAGCTCCCCTCATGCATACAACACCCCCCCCAAAAAAAAAAAAAAAAAAACCCTTGTGGGCTGGGGTGGTGGACCTCCAGCCCTCTTACCATATTATCAGCATTTTCTTATTTGCACTGTGAACCACATTTCAAACTTCCACTGCCTATGTTGTAACAATCAGTTTAGGGCTCCACTGTCTGATATTTACGTTTTTGACCTGCTAATTGTCATGTTAATCTTAAGATTCATCATATGGGGTATTGAAGTTGCCTTCTTTGAAATTCAGTATTGATCTATACTGGCGTTACTTCTTTCTCCAAGTTCTGTATTACAGGAAATTAAGTAAGCAATATAAGTGGCATGACATACCGGTTTAACTCTGGTTTGGTAATAGCTAACTACTCTATATAAATTCAAATTCTAGAGCATACCTTATCAAATTCTATAGTGATTACAGCTGACCTCACACCACACGGAAATCTCAAGGTCATTTCCATGAGTCCTGGGGACACCTTGTCTTCAGAAGGAGAAACATGCATCTTCTCTATGATATCTTTTCCAGATTGCAGATGTTCCTCTACATACACTTGTAGTGTATGATAATATACCTTCACATACCAAGGCACAACTTGGAAAACATCAACCCGCAGCCTACATCCTTCATTAATATCAGCACTTTGGACACTATTACCACGTACAGTAGGCTTCAAGGAAATAGCTATAGCACCCCTCTCATTTCCACTTCCCATTAAGAACCTGCTAGCATGTAATGGTGCCTCTGGACATGACCAAACTACAGTAGACTTCCACCAGAACCCCAAATCAAATGGCTTTGAGTAACTGTAATTCTCCATCGAGTATTGATATAGAATAGATGGGCTCTCTTTATTCAAGTTGCATACTTCTTTAAATACCAAGTCTGGGGAAACTGATAATTCAAAGCCCGGGTTACTCCAAGAGACTTCAAAGGAGAGACTCTCATCAACAGACCTTTCATTCTTATAACATAGCTCGGTCAATGCAGAGACCAATCGCTGCTCAAGTTGCACATACACATTACTGGATTTGGCAAGTACACATCTTCCACCAAGTTTCCTTCCAAATAAAGAGCTAAGAGACCAACTTGGTTGTGACATTGGGCCGCTGGAATATGTCACATCAGTTCCCATAGTACTTGGTTGAAGAACGATTGTAAGGGTTTGTTCAAGCACTATCCCAGAGTTCGAGCTCACTGAATCAAACTCACTTGAGGTCAAATGCAGCCGTTGAGAATGGTAGTATCCTCTGTAGATAGATGGTCTGTCCATCAAAGCAGAAATCCCAGCTTTGTCTCGGCAAGGAAGCAACTTCAACCAGGGAGTTAGGTTCTCAGTGCAAACAGCTTCACGGGGCAATGTACCATACCTTAAATTGCCTGAAACGGGCCGGAAGGCCCATTCAGGGGCAGAATAAGTAGTTGAAGACTCTAGGAAGTTGATTGAAGCACAAAAAAGACCCGAAAGAGCATGGGTTAGATTTTTCCAGGAAGCATCGATCTGATGATGAGGGACATCAAAGACAGCCCACAATTCAACTCCAGGAGGCTTTGCATTGCTGCTTGATATGGGGTCATATCCACCCCAGCGCTCATAATTCCATCGACCTTGTGTAAAAGACAACTCCATCTCCCGAACTCGAAACTTGTGGACCTGTTCAAACAACATAAGGTCGTCAATCACTTTGGGTTTCTCAAAGATAAAATAACAATAAATATCATGAAGCTGTAGCCAATTTATTCCTACTCCACTGGTTAAAAAATTCACATTTAGCAGAAAAGAAACAATATAGATTGCCTAACTAAACAGGATTACTGCAATCAATCAGAAGTGAAATGACTAAGATCTAAGACCGTAATATAAAATGAGTGCATGAACCTTACTTTGCACTAATACACATTTTGTATGGCATTTACCATAAAAGAGGGGAGNATCAATCAGAAGTGAAATGACTAAGATCTAAGACCGTAATATAAAATGAGTGCAAGAACCTTACTTTGCACTAATACACATTTTGTATGGCATTTACCATAAAAGAGGGGAGCTCATGTGGGCATGTGATATGTTAGCCTACAGAAGTTTACAGGATAATAACAGCACAAGAACACCATTGACTGTCTCGGAAGGTTATTATCACCATTCACTGTCATTCCCTGACTTCAGAATATAAAAACATGTTACCCCCTTTCCTTGGTATTAAAGTTGGCATCCCCAAATTTTAACACCACATAATGTTGAAACCTTGAGGAATCTTCTTGTCATTTACACTGAAATGCCATATGTCTCTATGAATAACTAATTCCCCAGCCAATGGTTCAAAAAGCAATTGCAGCAATAAATTTGGGACCTTTAGGTTCCACAAGTATCGAAAGATATGGACTGGAGCAGAGTTCACATCGAGGGAACTGTCCACCAAAGTGATCAATGGGCCAATTATCCTTTACTTGACCCTTGGTCATACTTCAATTTATTTAGACACAAACCGGAGTTAAGAGAAAATAAAATCAACTGCATATATCAAGATTTTCATATGTAGATACAGAAGCATATGTTTTGGGCCAAGCAACTACCACAATCTTTAAAATTCAATGGCGGACCCATTACAACTCATTATTTTTAGCTTGGGAATTACCAAACACGTGTTCATTTATTACTTGGTATACATCTTTTGCCAAGATAGTAACTTACCGCTAAACTTCCTAAGTTCCAAAAAGAAAGTACAGCAGAGCACCAACTGTGGTACTCTCAAAGCATCCCGATTTCATCAATTTGTGAACCCTAGAATCAGGTCACTGAACTCAATAGTATCACAACAACCGTTAAACCCTAGAAACCCAACTTTATCTTTCAATTTCAAATCATTCAAAACTGAACCGGAAAAAAAAAAAAACACACACACACACACACACACAAGAATCCAACACTACTCAAAACAAAGAACATAAAAATTTGTCCCCTAAGAAACAGGGAAATTAATAAATGAGTAAATTAAGAGAAGTATTCAGTTTCTATGCGTGCACATCTGAATCAATAGATTACCAGCTGATATATGGCTTTGGGAAAGAGATGGTGGTGGTGGCCATAGGTGTCAGTCGGAGGAACTCTGGTATCGAAGTGGAAATGGGCGAGCACTTTCCGATCGGGCAATGGTCTTAAAAGCAATTCTTCTGAGAACTCTTCGTCTTGTTCTTCTTTTCCAATTGAGTTAGAGGCAAATAAGAGCAGAAAGAACACGATGATGGATCTTAAATGCGCCATTGGCGGCCTCAGTGTCCTACGACATTGTTGTTGGGTTGCATCGATAACGATCCGCCATTGAAGAAGCTCCAAATATTTTCAGAAAGCACACAGAATGACACTATCTATGGATCAAGCTTAGAACTTAGGAGAGTCTTAGACCCACCCATTGAAATTAGGGCAACCAGGACCGTTTGGGCGTATCACTGGGTCGGATCATGCCCTGAACCCGCAGTTTTCAAACGGTACCGTTACATCGACAGTTCGACACAAGACGATTGGGACATTTATGTGCAGGATTATTATCAGGCACTTAAGGATAATCCGTGCCTGAAACAATGTAAATCGATTGATTAATTTGGAGAAAGGAAGAATAAAAATCTCATAGAGAGAGTGAAGAGTGAGAAAGGAAAGTAAAATTTAATATGAATGATTTTAATAGAGATGTTAATGGACGTTAAATGAGTATATTTGAAAGTGTCGGATAAATTTATTGAACTTTACCCTGTATTATATTATTGATATAGATTATAGATGTCAATGGATCTAATTTAGGTTGGATTATGACTAATNCGTCGGATAGATTTATTGAACTTTACCCTGTATTATATTATTGATATAGATTATAGATGTCAATGGATCTGATTTAGGTTGGATTATGACTAATTTGAATTTGAATCCGATTTCAAAAGACCAATTCGAATTCAATCCAATAATTCGGTGAATTTTATTTTCGTGATTCACATCTAAATCCGTTAAAAATCTGAAATTCGATCTGAATAACTTAATTAACCAAATTCTAACAAATTATACCTAAATTTTAACTAAAATTTTTTAAATAATTATTTAATTTCTTTAATATATATATATATAATATATAAATAATTTCTATTGGATATAGGTATATCCAAATTCAAATTCATAAAATATAAAATTTCTAATTCGGATTAGAATTATTAGTAAAAAATATTAATTCATATTTAACTAATCAAATTCAGATTCGNTAATATATAAATAATTTCGATTGGATATAGGTATATCCAAATCCAAATTCATGAAATAAAAAATTTCTAATTCAAATTAGAATTATTAGTAAAAAATATTAATTCATATTTAACTAATCAAATTCAGATTCGAATCAGAACTTGATCCATTGACCAGTCTAATTATTAGAGGCAATGAATTCATTTTCACAAAAGGAAAATAAAATTTGAATTATGTAAGATTAATATTGAATACCTATTGATTCAATCAAGGAGTATGAACAAAAGTCTCATATACTCATGATTTTTGTTAATGTTTTTAGAGTGGAATTTATTTGTCATGAACTAAAATATTAAAATTAATAACATCAAAGTTAAATATTGTACTTGACACACAAGACTCTTCCTTATGATGGGATTGGTGAGAAATACATAGTATAGAAGTGCTACCCTATTTTATAAAAGTTGATTAGAAACATGACTCAAAAAAACATAATTGAAAACAACGTAAAATAGAAAACTTGACAAAAACAAGAATAAAGGTGGTGGAAGACATCCATAAGTGAATTTATATGTTTTAATGAATAAATTCGATTGCAACTTCAAATATAAAATTAAAAAGAATCAAATAAGAAAGGATACTTTGAATTATATAACTATAATGAAATTAATATACAATCAATCAACATTTATCGAATTTGAAAAAAGATAAGAGAAAATGACTTGACCCTCTTATTTTTTTTTCCCGATCTCATCTTTTTTCATCTTATAGGCCTTGCTAGAGACCTGAGCATTGTGATGCAATTACCATTGTGAAAGGCACTCGGGGGGAGGAGTGGGATACCTAGGCCTATCACCACAATAATCATAATTCATATACTTTGTTCTCACAGCTTCATATGCTCTCTGCTGATTAGAGTCCAATTTCCAATAATTTCTGGTGTTCCACCAATATTTAGAGGATGAACAATGCTGAATATTGGAGTAGTAGTTGTGATTAATAGATGGGCAGCCATTAACATTGAATCCTTGGAAGTAGGCTTTGAATGGTGCATGAGACCAGTTAATCTTTGTATTCCCTCCATCTGTTGCCCAACTATCTCCATTCCATAAGCTTGCCTCTATTTGCATTGGCTGTGAAGGGTAGCTAACTCCAATGTTTGTGTTGTTCTTGAACACTCTAATGGGGATGTTGTCCACAAAAAACCTGAAAATTTCAATACATGGTAGGTTGAGTCACAATTTATTTGAAAAAAAATCAGCCACAATTCTATGGGGTTAAGTTATGACTTTTAAAAATAAAAAATTAATTCTAAAAAGACAAGATTGATTTTAAAATAACTTTTTATTATCTTAACCTCACCAAATTGACTCATAATATCAATCTTATTTTGTAGCAACTTGTGCTACAATATTGAAAAATAATTTCAGGACTAATAATTGAGTCGGGTTACTAGGTTTTGACTTAGGTTCGACTCGAGTTCGGCTCGTTGAATAATTTTTTAGACTTTTTTAAAAAACAAGCCTAAAAAATTCGATTCGAACTTATAAAACTCAACTCGTTTATATTTCAAATAGTAGAATTACTTGGGTTTGATTTATTTGAGCTCAGCTCGAGTACAACTCATTTTTTAAATGAATCAAATTAGAATAAGTTTTTAAGTTCGTTTAAAAAAACAAACTCGATAGACTCGGCTCGATTATCATCCACCCACCCGTAGCCTTAACTTGTGTGTATGTGTCTGTGTGAGAGAGAGAGAGAGAGAGAGAGAGAGCATATTCTTACACTATGAGATGGTGGTTCCAAAGAATTTTATAACTATGAAAATCTGCAGTAGGGTCGAACCAGAGAAGGGTCCTTTGCTCTCTATTTCCTTGCCCATTGGAGAAAACATTGGTTTGCAATGTGTAAGGTTTACCTTCTCTATTGCCCAAGAACTCAAAGTCTAGCTCATCACGATTATGAGTATGTGAAGTTAGCTGCAACAAATTGAATCAGCAATATTATTAAAGAGAAAAAAATGATTACATACATAAAGAGTCACCAATCTTCTCGAGAAAATCTATCTAAAATGAAATGTAGTTTAGGCATGAAGTATTTTACATAAAAAGCTGTGACAACTCCTGCAGAGTCCTTTTCTGGTTGCTTTATCCTTAGATGGAAGAACCCGGATCCATAGCTTAGTTTCGACCCGAAGCCAGCCCCTATGATGCACAATTAAACATTTCCAAAGGTTAAAACCGAAAAAGAAATCCACATATATATATATATATATATATATATGTACATGTTTGAGCTCTCATTCTGACTCAATTCTAGAGCTGGATATCCAGTGATGGGAGCTACACACACACACGAGTGTAAAGGACATTCCATCGCACGATATTACTGCAGTGTACACAGTCTTACTCCGAGCCCAAGATGGCAGCATTAATGCAAAAGCTTGAGATTATATAGGATAAGTAATAGGGGAAAAATAAGGAATTGCCATTCATTCTAATTTCGAGAAATCCATAAGGGTTGTTAATAGAATCATGTTATAATATGGTCATTGTTGGTGTCGGGAACTTTCTTTCTTTTATTTTGTTATTCCCACAAAGCCAAAACCAGAGAGAGAGAGAGAGAGAGAGAGAGATGTTTAACTATCTGCCATAAAGCATCATGAACACCATTCAAAAATAAAAGATGAAGAGTAATATATGTGGACCCATCAAAGAGAAAGAAGAATAAGAGAAACGAAGATTAACCCGAATAATTATCCATTGAGAGCTGGATTTCTCTTCCTTGGTTTGAAGACATGACATGATCATAACCCCAAGTAACATTATAATTGACATTGAAGCTTATATCACTACTAGCTTTACTAGCTAGCACCCCTCCAAGTAGGAGAAATGCAAGTAAAGTACTCATGATCATCAAAGGAAAATCCATCTAAGATTTCTGTGTTGTGGCCTTTCTAGGGTTTACATAGTAATGGTTCGGATATCAGATTTCAAGTGGCCATGGAAAAGGCAAGGAGAGTGTGAGCTATCATCTTCTACCTTTCCCATACGCTATTGATTTCTCCATGCTATAACCCATGTATAACAAACTGTATCATAATGGTTTGTTCGGAAAGAAGCTAGTCCGGTGGGTAAGAATTTAAATTTTTTAGCTTAATGTTTGGGTTTGAGTCTCCACAACCGTAAGCAGTTTGGTGTGACTAAATTTATTTTTCAGTGCCCAGAGTTCGAGATGAGATCTTAACTTCGACTACAACGTAAGTGCGGTAAAATCTCTTATAAATAGTTATGTGATATTGAGGAACAATGCATTTACCAGATATGTGAAGTGATCTAACTGCATATCCTCTCGTAGATATGTATCTATACATATGTATAGGAGATTTTGGAATGATTCTATGTTTGAAAAAATAGAGTTTAGGAGTTTCCTTATTTATGATAATTGCTTCCATTAATATCACCATTATCACAAAGAATAAAGATGATGGTACTTTAGTGGTAACTTTTCTTAATGGAGATGGCACATAATTTTGCATAGTGACTTTTGTAGTTCATGCGTGTCAAGGAATAAAATGATCAAGGAATATATATATATTAGTTATTGTTTATACCTGAAAACACAGAATAATAAAAAATGGTATACAATAAATATATTTATATTCATATCTAAAATCAAATCACAAACATAAAGAAGAGATAAAGAAATTTAAGCATCGATTTGTAGTGGAAGAGAAAGGTGGTGGGCAACAGTAGTAGTGGTAGGAAAAGGTGATGGTTGTGGTGGGTGACAATGACTGTGGTGGTGGTGATGACGACAACGACGATGGCAACTACG